TCTTGAGATCTTGTCTATATCTGCAAAGAAACTTTTCAAACAAGATTCCGTGACAGGCCCCGAAGATCAGGATGTAGATGGGGCACTATTCCATCCAGTGTAACATGCAGTGAGATTGTAATCCCAAACCTTCTGAGACACAGGCAGGGAATGAGTCTGTTAATGCGTGGGTGTGGGTTGGTCCAGGCAGGACCAGGGGTGACAAGGACTCAGGGCGGCACTGAGGAAACACTGGATCCAGGCATCGGGACACCTGGATTCTGGCCCCGTTCCATCAGCCCAGCCCATCTCCGAGAGAAGCGCTTCCCATCTCTGAACCACTCCTGCTCTGCAGCAAAATGAGAGGTGGAGACACAGCTCAGGACCCTCGGTCTCTAAGTCTCCATCCTGGGTCCCTGCAGTCTATCACTGACACTCGTGGGGGTGCTGCAGGCTCACGCACTGGCAGAGGGAACTCAGAGCCAGTTGAGAGTGGGTTCCATAGCATCGGCTATTGGACTTGGCCAGATTTTGGACTTGTCAACCACCTCCACAATGTCCCTAGCTAGGCCGGTCAGCCCCTGATCAGTGTGGGGTCTACCAAAGAGGCTTGGATGGCCCACCTCGGGTAAGGTCTCCCCAAAGCCTATGTGAGTCAAAAATATGAATGCACATAGTTTATTTGGGAGACCATCCCAGGAGGTGCTGGTAGGGACCTGGGGTGGGGGAAAGAAGGGAGTCAGCAGAGGGCATTGTGTCAAGCACTGTCAAGTTGCTGTCGTGGGCAAGAGGGGTGGTGGATGGGCTGGGGTCTCGGTCTTCCAGGGCATTGCTGGAGGTTGCTGTGGGTTGTTAAGTCCCGGACACTCATGACCTGCTTGAGTAGATCCTTGGAGCCCCTGCAGCCAGGGAAAGCCCCAGGGGCTGTCTGACAGGAAGGCCTGTGCTCCTCATCCCCTCTAAAGCAAAGGAAAGAATCCAAAGCCGGATACTGAGGGATCAACGGCACCGCAGGCAGTAAGGAGAAAATCCAGCCTCGGGTGCCACTTGGAGCAGGCAGCCTGACACCTGGACACTGCGGTGGTTGCTGTTTAACTCACCAACATGGGCTCTGGCATCTGGTCAGAGCTCACAAGGTGCCCTGGTGATGAGGGGGTGAGCACAGTCCGGTCAGGAGCCTTTGGAGGCTGCACCCATCTTAGGGAATGGACCCATACGCTAAAAGACCTTCAGGAACCACTGTGCACTGGCCTCAGACCCCTCCCCATCCTCCTCCCTCGTCCCGAAGCCTCTTCCTATGTCAAGGACCAATCTGGCAGGGGACCAGACCACCGCAGACAACGTGACATGTGACGGGCAGAAGGAAGTTGCCTCTCTTAGGTAAACTGAGGCAGAGCCAAAGAAAGCACAAACGCTTCTCAATGAAGTGAGCATGACTTTGATATCAAAACCTGCCTAAGATTTTTCTAAGAAAGGAAAGAACAAAAGAAACTGTCTTAGATGTGAAGATTAATGAAAACCTCTGAATAAAACATGGAGGAGGACTGAGCAGGACCTTAAAGGAATCATACGACAAACGACTAAATGGACTCATCCCTGGAATGAAAAGATGGCTCAGTGCTAGGACTCCACTCACAGATGCGTCACATTCACAGGGCTAAGAAGAGAAGTCCTAAGTCATAGCATCAGCTCTGCTGGATTCCTGAATTCAACAGCCTCCGTGATTAAAGAAAAACAAAACATGAAAGAATCCCTTTTTCACCAAGGAGCGGAGAGGTCTTTTTTATTTATCACTCAAATGCCAAAAGTTAAAAAAGAAAAAAAAAGATGAAGTTCAATTACAAAACAATTCTATATGCTGCAAAAAAAAGAACAATGACAACAACCTGATATCAAAGCCCAAAGATAAATTAGACCCCCCCCAAAAAAGTGCAATTTCTATCACAGAAAAAGAGTCATTTGCCCTAATTTTTTTTGGTACCGGGGATCAAACTCAGGTCCTTGTGCTTGCGAGGCAGGCGGTGGCACCACAGAGCTAAATCCCTGGCCCACAGCCTCCCTGATCTACAAAGGGCTTGTAGAAATTGGGAAGGCAAGGACAAATTGTAATTGAAAAATAGGTAAAGAATGCGAAGAAACAGTCTCAGGAAAAGACATACAATTACAACTTAAATATATTAAACGATGCTCAGTGTCACTGGGAAGAAAGAAAACATGTGAAATGAAGTTACACGGAGATGCCGTCTTCCCCCATGGTCTTGGGGAGCCCCAGCAGGTGTGACAGGGAACAGGGCATCCCCTGTTATCAAGCGGGGTGTCCCTGGGGAGGGTGATAGCGGCTCCTCAGAGCTACCCCCACCTACCCTTCCCCAGAGCAAGCACCCTTCTAGCACCTTGTGTCACGGATGCGCCAGCCCACGCTGGGAAGGGTGCGTGTGCCGTTCTCCACTCGACCATCCTGTAACGTCGGAGCTGTAACACAGCCCAGGCGCCATGGGCAGGAGAGCCTCTGGGGAGTGACACTGAATCCCTGCAGATCGCTGCACTACCTGAAAGGCAGCCAAGGTAATGGTGGTGAGAAAGAAATGCTCAGTGCAAAATTCCCTTTCATGTAAAAAGGAGCAAAAACAGGAACGCACACGTACCCCTGCTTATATTTGCAGAAAGAAAACCCAAGGGATGCACAAGAAACTAAAAATGATTCTCTGGGGGCTGGTGTGGGTAGCTTGGAAAGGGTGGGCTGGGAGAGAGCCTTTTTATGGTTCACTCTACAAATTTACTATCTATTTGATGGTTTTAAAAGTTTATACAGATGTTTGAGCATTCATTATGATTTTTCCAGAAGGGTATACACTTTTGGTGGCAGCTGCCTCTGGGCAGTGAGAGGAAAGGACTCTTGCTTGTCACTTTACACATGCCTAGACTGTTTGGGTTACTGTCGTGCGTGTGTGTGTGTGTGTGTGTGTGTGTGTGTGTGTGTGTGCAACTTCTTAATAAAATATGCTTCGTTTTTATGGCTTACGTGATCATATTCCTGGAAACACAAGAAAAGGTGTTCGTGTGGCTTCCTCTAGGGAATCGGATGATTGCGACCTTATGAGAGCCTGTGGCTTGCGATGCACACAGTGAAGGAAACATGGGAGGGCCGGAGCAGAGCATACGCTGAGCAGGTGCATGGCCCTGGGTTCCACCTGCAACGCCCCACAAACAGGACGGGAGCATGCGTGAGGTTCTTCCCACGCTCCTTCCGGAAAGAAATGAGTGGACGCATTCTGAGAGGTTAGCGAAGAAGAGGGTTTGTAACGCAGAGGGCCCAGGAGGCCGAAGCTCATGGGCAGTGACTTGGCGAGGAGGGAAAGGGAAAGCAGGGGCTTTGGTTGGCTGTGCTGTCACGGGACTCATCCCTGCCTCCTGCTCAGTGGGCTGAGGCTGCTCCCTAGAGTGTGAAGATCATTGGACATTTTACGGTTACTGTGTTTGACTTTCTGGTGGATTACTAGGCCTCTTGGCACAGGTACCGTGAACCCGAGCCAGGATCTGCGCCCCCGGGAGCCCTGTCCCTACTGCAGTGTGAACCCCAGAATGATCTTTGCCTTGGGGCCAAACCCAGGCTCTGCCAGAGCCACCGGGAGGGGCTACACAGGGGACCCAGAGGTCCCAGGTGCTACTTAAATACTGTGGCTCCACCTGCAAAGGAAACAGGAGGCACGAGGGGTCAAGTCTAATGCCGGTGGCGGTGATGTGGTGGGAAATACTGGTGACAGTCAGTGGTGAGGTGAGGGTGCGGGTGGTGAGGATGATGCCGTGATGTCGCTGATGTTGACGAGGACGGTGACAGTGGTGACGGGGACCCCAGTGATGGTAGTGGTGACCGCGGTAACGTTGATGATGGCTGATAATGGCGGTGATTCTAACATGCATTGTTAGTCTCTCACTGTGCCATTTAATCTCACTACTTTAAGTGGAAGACCCCATCTTAGAAACACAGACATGGATCCAGAGAAGGCTATGAACGGGCCCGAGGGCATTTGGCAGCCTGGCTTCCAATTCACTTGATGGGAACATTGTCTGGGAGAGTCAGCCCTGCTGGAAATTCTTCTTCTGTGAGTAGGAGGGCTCACTTCACACAAGTTAGTTTGATGGCACAGCCTGGAGGGCTTAATGGCCTTAATCTGAGGCTGCCTCCTCTCTTCCCCACCTGCCCAGGTGCCCTTGGGGGATGGGCTCCCAGGCAAGAATGAGTGGCTGGTTTTAGAAGAGGCGCAGTCCCAGGAGTAACCACCAGGTGGCAGAGCAGCTGCACCTAGTCCTGACCCCAGCAGTTCAAGAAAAGCAGAAAACACACATTACAAATTCCTTGGCCTGGAAGCAGAAAGCCAGTTGGAGATTCCGGGAGCCTTCTGACAAATCCAGGAAGGTTGACCTTCTGCTGTGAGCAAAACCGAGGGGTGTCCTTGACTGGCAAAGAGCAGGGAAGAAGAAACAAATTGTAAAAGCACATGGAAGGAGGGAGGAAGGGAAATGAATTCCTCCTGGACACCTTGGTTTTCAGCAGCCCCCTGTGGCCCGCAGTTTGCAAAGTGAAGACCAGGGCTCAGGGCCGCAGAATCCCCTGGGGGTAAGGGGGAAACACCCCTCGGGTTACATCCTGGGTCCAGGCCTTTGTGGCCCAAACCTAGACTCTGCATGACAAAGGAAGGGAGAGCAGGCCTTGACACACACCTTTGGGGCTGCAGTAAATCTGTACCCTGATTATCCCTGCTCCCCGGGTCTCCCATGCTTTAGGCGGCCTGGCGCTTCCCCAGCTCTCTGTCTACTACCTCAGTTTTCATACAAGTTCCTACTCAGAGACAGTGAGGAAGGCTTCAAAATCCAGTCCTACAAGACCGGTTCACCACCTTCCCGGCTGGCTGCCATCTTGGCCGGGTTCTCAAAGTTCAGGGAAGACACCCACCCACACCTCACCCACAGTTCACGCTTCTCCCAGGAATCCACTCCGTCAATTCACACTCCTAACCTGGGAGGCAAGTTGGGGCTGGCTCTGATTCTGACCCCAATTCTGTATTCCAGCTGTTAGTTGGGGTTTGCTACCCAACAGGCTGCCCAGGAGGACTGGAGAGAGCTCAGGTTTTGGTGTCTGGTTTGCATCTGGACTCTGCTGTGTGACCTTGAGCGAGGTGCCTACCCCTTTCTGAGTCCCAGTTTCCTTGTTAGAGAGAGTTCACGCCATTTATCCCCTGGGCTGCTGTAAGGGGTGGGTGAGGACACAGAACGTGGGCATATGGCCAGCCGTGGGTGCCAGGAGCAGCTGTCACTGAGAGGCACAAGCAGGAGGGGCCTGGGGTAGGGCCGGTTCCACACACCCCAAACCAGGCATGGAAGCTGGCCTCAGGCCGGGGGGCAGAAAGGTGTGACTTTGCACCCACCGTGTCTGCTGGGCACTTCTAAGAGCTGCCAGGAAAGAGTAGCCATGGTTTCCACCCTGGGGGAGCTTGTCCTCTAATTATGGCAATCTGAAACCTCAGAAAAGAAGCTTCCAGAAATAGCGGTCTGTGAGCAGCCTCTATGCGCTCCTGGAGGAGGAGGTGCCCCCAGCTGGGTGGCCCTCCTGCCAGCTCCTCAGCTGAGGAGCCCTGACCTGGTTGTCCGGATTGGTTACTTCTGAACCAACAGTTTCCTGACTGAATGGGCCCCAGGTAGAAGGCGCCAAAGGGTCTGGACCTAAGGACAAGATTAGCCGGCCAGCAAAGTTGCAGCTCCCACCAGCTCCTCACACACAAGCCTGGAGTCCATGCTGAGATTAAACTTTAACCCAGCCAGGGCGGTGTGGGGGGGATTCTTCCTCCACACTGTAATTCAGTAACATTACGGCTTTGTGGTTTACCTTTTTCTTTTTAAAAACCTGCCTGAAATTTCACTGCCGATGCGGTGAACCCGGAAGGAGGCTCAGTCCTCTGAGGTCCTGACTTGTTGCATCTCAGACGCCCTGGGGAGGCCCCCGGCACACCGGGTGCGCTGACCCCTGAGGTCCTCTCTACAGTGTTGGGACATCTGAAGAGTTCCCACATGAGACAGAGTAAAGGGAAATTTCCTCAAAGTGTCTCAGGGCAGCTCGAGGGGCAGGTGGTCACTGCCTAGGGCAAGGCCGTGGAAAGAGTCTTAGTGGCTTTGGACTGATTTCCCAACGGATCCCAAGCAGCAGGTTGAGGTCAGGACTTGCCGCTCGCTGACCGCCAGGGCCGGCCCTGTGCATGGCATTTGAGGAGCTCCTGGAGCGAGCCGGGGGGGTGGGTCTCTTCCAGGCTCTGCAGGTCGCCACCCTCCTCCTCCCGGCCATCTTCACGCCTTTTCACCTGCTTCTGGAGAACTTCTCAGCCGCTGTCCCGGACCATCGCTGCTGGACTCACATTCTGGACAATGGCTCCGAGATCCCTGCAAACCTCACCCATGAGGCCCTCCTGGCTGTATCCATCCCACTGGGCCCCGATCAGCGGCCCCACCCCTGCCGCCGCTTCCGCCAGCCACAGTGGCAGCTCCTGGACCCCAACACAGCCAACTGGAGTGAGGCTGCCACGGAGCCATGCGAAGAGAGATGGGTGTACGACCACAGCACCTTCACGGCCACGGTGGTGACCAAGGTAAGGGCCCACACTGGCCGTGCAGCTGCCCCAGTGCCCCCCCACCCCGGGAGGATTGAATCACCTCCCTCACGTTACAGAAAGAACAACTCAGAGACCCTGGTAAATCGCGGAAACTACTTGAGACCATTGTGACAGATATAGGGGCCACAGTGATGGGGCTGGCAGTAGTGAGGGATGGCTGAGCAATTTATAGTCAGGGGATAGTTGGGGGTCAGGAAAGGGAAAGTCACTCAGAGGAGCCCTCAGGTGGTCCTGGCTGAACTGGACCCCGCAGGGTTCTCTCTGAGGCACTTCACCAGGGGATGGTTAGAGGGTGTGGAATTTCAAGGGTGATCAGAAACCAAGGGTGGGAGTTTCTTGCCAAAATGACGTAGCACAATTCTTTGCTGAAACTGGATTTTATAAGGAAACACCTAGTTAGGCCTGGAGAAGGTTCCTAAGCCTGATGAAAGCCTTGGCCAAGGGAAGAATTGTCACTCAACACATGCGTTCTGGTGCTTATAGTGATCAGAATTTGGATCTGGGCTGGGGCTGGAGGATGAACGAGGCCTTGGGAGGCGATGGGGCCTCTCAGTCAGTGCTCAGGTCAGCCACAAGGCAGAGCCCCACCTTGCTGGCACCACAGAGGTGGTCAGCAGTACTCCACAGCTTGCCCTCGGGCCCTGACGTTGCTACAGTCCCCTGGGTGGGTCTTAGGATGGCCCTATTTAGTAAGGGAAGGGAAGCGTCAGATACGTCTGTGACACAGGCAGACCAGCAGGTCCCTTGTCTCCTGTGGCCTGTCACTAGGAACTAGGGACCCTGTGCAGTGATTGGTCCCCAAGGACCCAGGCTGACCGAGTTCTTTGTGGTTGGTTTTACACCTGATCCTCCCTCTGCCACCCCAGTCCCACTGCGTCCTATTTCCTGAGCTGTCCCTCCTTCTCACCTTGCAGTGGGACCTGGTGTGTGATTCCCAGGGCCTGAAGCCCATGGGGCAGTCCATCTACATGGCCGGGATCCTCACGGGGTCCTTCATCTGGGGCCTCCTGTCCTACCGGTGAGTGTCCCCTCCCCTGCCAGCTCCCTAAGATTGAATCAGGGATTGAGGGGGCAGAAGGCACATAGATTTCTTGAAAGCCTCTTTGTCCCCTAAGAAAAGGGGCTCCTGGGTCTCCCACATGTCACCAAGTCCCAGTGAGACAGCCACAGTCAGGAACATCAGTCAGCCGCAGTGCCTGCCCTGGGGGAAACTGACCTTCAGCTACATGTTGAGCGCCACCTGTACGCAAGGCCTTCTGGGAGAAGCGGGCTGTGACATAGAAACACAGGAAGTGCAGGAGCCGGACAGGGCTGGACCCACCCTGGCAGCTAGAAGGTCGGCTGAGATGGGACTCTGCAAAGGAGAGAGGAAGCGAGAGGAGGCAGGTGTGCACTGGGGCTGAGTCATTAAGCCCTTTGGGACAAAGGACATCTGTGCATCATGTGGGCCTGAGAGGTGGACAAAGGCCATGATCGGCAGCCTTGGAGGCCAGGTAAGATGTTCTGTCTCCCTAGACACCAGGCCCAGGGTCCCTCACTCTTGGCCACGGCCTTGTCTCGTGTGCCCTGAGAGGGGTCCCTCGCCTGCCCTCACTCAGGCGGTCCCAGCCTCTTCTCCCTGTGCTGTTCAGGCTCTCCCCTCCCCAGCCATACCACTAACCCACGGGCGGCTCCAGGTGTCCCCAGCCCCTGGCCTGCCTCCCATAGTGAAGCTGCCTAAGGTGGTCTCCCATCACCTCCCACTCCAGCCAGACGAGGCCATCACCCTCTTCCCCTTTCCATGCAGCTGCCCTCACTGCCCTGCCACCCCTTTGTTCCCAGTCCAGAGGCCCCATGTGGACCCTGGTGCCCGGACACTGTCCCCAGCAGAGATGAGTAGAGAAGGGGCAGTGGGGAGGGGGGACCAAGTGCCCACTGCTTCAGGAGGCAGCTGGACTGGGAACTCCTCCTCCGACTGGCGATCTTTATGTTCAGACCCGAGAGGAGAAGAGACTTCCCCTTCAGGCCCTTCCTTCCCTCACCTTCTGAAACCTCCCAGGGAACTCAGCCTGAGCCCCTCCTGCTACTCAGCACTGCCAGGAGGGTGGAGTGGTGAGCCAGGACTTAGCCAAGCACCATCTCCATGCTCGTATGCAGCTGATAGACAGCAAAATTGTCCCCACTTGCACAGCCCCTTGCCCCCTGGATCTCTCCATCTAGGAGACCAGGAGGCAGCTCACGTCTACGCAGTCAGAGTGGAGCTGCCGACTCCTCTTGCCCTCCCCTTACTCCCAGACTCCATCCCAGAGAGCAGCCGTAGCCCTCCTGTCTCCAGAAGCAGAGGAGTTGTCTCCTGCTCTCCTCCCTTCACCTCACACTCTTGGGCTCCTCCTCCAAGAAACACCCTCACGATTCTTCCCCAGGCCTCGCCTCTTGTCTGATCCAGTAGCAGTGCTCAGAGGGACTCTGCATGGCCTCATAAGTAGATCTGGGGGGTGCCCGTTGGAAGTATTCCAGGGGCCCCACAGCACTAAGGAGGAACCCAGCTGTGCTGGCCTCCTGGGCAAGAACTTGCTAGAGGGACCAGGCCACAGCTACCTCGCCCCAGTGTCCTCGGAGGTGCCTCCTGGGCCCTGATTAGCAGCTGGCCCGGCCTAGGCACCCACTGGTTCAGCTCTGCTTCCCTCATCGCGGTGCTTTCTGGGACAGCACCAGGCTTGCTCTGCCCCCATGGGAGGTGAGAACACAAGGCTTTGGGGCCAGCACAGCGCCTGGCATGTGGCAGGGACTCAGGCATGATTCTGCACAGGCACAGGTGGTTCCCAGTGGTTCCCAGCTGCTCTCCGACACTATCCACTACTTAGGTCCCCACAGAGGCCTGGGCCTAGAAAGCAATCTCTTCTCTGTGCCTCAGTGGGGCTCACAGCTCCCATGTGGTTATCATGAGGATTAGCTGAGTTAATCCACAGAGAACCTGAAGCTGGGCCCAGCACAGAGGCGTTGCTGCCGTCATTGTGTCTTCCTGAGAGCAGCTGGGGGACCGAGCAACAGGGCATGCGCGCTCCAGTCTGTGCTTTTAAGGGACAGCCAGCTGCCGGGCATGGGTCACACGGATCTGTTGCCGTTCCTGGGGGTCACCCATGTAGGAAGCCAGATCGCTTTGGTCCTCTGGTCTCCTGGTGAGTCCCCTGTAGTCACCCTGAGGCCTAGACCAGGGTGGCCGGCACAGAGGGGTCACAGCCATGTCCTACCCCCACCTCCATCTGGCCAGCACACGCTTTGGTTGTGCTGACTGCAGCCAGCATTTCAGCTAAGCCTCCTGGAGGTCACAGTGGCACAGGGAGTGGCACAGGCTGAGTGACCTGCAGGGCTTCCCTGGGACTTTTTCTCCCAGATGCAGGGTTGGATAGGGCTGGTTTGCCCTCGGACACTGGCACTTGGTCTCCTGGCTGCCCTGCCCCTTTCTCAGGACCGTCACGTTCACAAACCCACACCCTATACGGCCCGTCCTTACGGGCACCCACTCACGTGCCCGGGGTTACCAGGAAGGGCAGGCGGGACGCAGACCCAGGCATCTGACTCTAGGGGTCCTGGGAACGAAGTGTCTGCCTCTGTGATACCTAAAGCCCTCTGCGTGGGCTCGGAGCAGCTCCATGAAGGAGGAGCTGCCAACTTCGCCAGGCTAGCAGCACACACACCCCGTGGCAGGGCCTCTCCGGGCCCACCACACTCATCTCCTCCACAGGCTCGGGCGGAAGCCGATGCTCAGCTGGTGCTGCCTACAGGTGGCTGTGGCTGGTGCTGGCACCACCTTTGCCCCAAGTTTCCTCATCTACTGTGGCCTCCGGTTCCTGAGCGCCTTTGGGTTGGCCGGCATCAACCTGGTATTGTCAACACTAAGTGAGTCCCTCGCTCAGGCTCCTGCAGGGTGGGGCAAGGGGGACAGAAGGGGACTAGGCCTCACCTGTACTTCTGCATGTCTCTGTAGTGGCAGAGTGGACCACAACCTGCAGGAGGGCTGTCACCATGGCGATCCTGGGATGCACCTACAGCATGGGCCAGATGGTCTTGGCAGGCCTGGCCTTCATCCTGCGGGACTGGCGGGATCTCCAGCTGGCCGTGTCCGTGCCCTTCTTGGCCTTCTCCTTGGTATCTTGGTCAGTGTGGTTTGGAGCTATCTCCATTGGAGATGTGGTGGTCCCTTCCTCCCACTGCCCCGGAGGTCAATGGCTGGAGCCAGGCCCTCCCTGGGGACAGACATTGGCTACTCTTGGGGGAGTGTCAGCCCAAGGCCTGTGGCTCCTGGCCAGCCTGGTCAGGCATCCATCTGCCTGCACAGCACTGGCTCAGTGGTATAAAAAAAATTTTCAGTGACGTCTTTTTTTAAAAAAAAACACTTATAGGTAGTTGCCAGAATTTAAAACTCAGGAGATATTTTAAAACAAACAAGATGAAAAATATTTCTACCTTTTCTAGAAAACGGGAAGATCTGGAGGTACCAGGCCAGAGTCTGGCCAGAATACAGCAACAAGCCCTGTCCCCAGCACTGGGGCCAGGGCATTATCCCTCCCACATGCTGGCACCATCCCCACCCACCAGCCTCACTCCTTCCTGTCACTTGGCATCCAAGTCAGTGAGGACCAGTGGACATGAAAATAGATCACTGTCACTATGTTTTTGGCAATGGAAAAGCCCGTGAGGCCTGGAAATACCTGCTTGGGTGGGGGTAGAGGAAAGGGATAAGAGAAACAAATGCAAATCAATGTCACCCTAGTTCTCTTGGGTCCCTGAGTCGGAGCCAAGCAGAGCTAGCTGGATAAGCTTACTGTGGGGATGCGGAAAATAACAACTACTGGCATATTCATTCTCAAATAGTTACTGAGCTCCTGTTCCAGGCCAGGCATGGCTTTGGGGGTTGGACACGCACCAGTGACCAAAAAGAGACAAAAAGCCACGAGTAACATGGAATTTATATTCTATAAGCAGATCAATATGTACAGAGGAAGGCCATCCCATAATCACATGCATTAGGCCACTGGGTCACACGACTCAGGACCAGATACAGCCACAACACCAGAGGTGTAGCCACGTGTCTTCCGAAGAAGATGGTGTCACTGCCGCCCTTTTCACATGAGGGATGGGGGCTCAGAGAGGTTAAACCGCTTGTCCAAGGTCATCCGCCTGTGAGTGCCAAGGGCAGGATTTGAGGCCTGGCAGGACAGCCCTTTCAGCAGCTGTGTCAACCTGCCCGGGAAAGTCCCTAGCTTCACTGCAAACAGGGCCGAACCCTAGTGCACTGGGCAAACTCTACCCTTCACCAGTGCAAGGCCTCTGCAGGCTCATCTGCCTGTGAGGTTGGAGAAGAGCAGACTGCTGTGTAGACTCACCCAGTTTTGCCTGAGGTCGTTTCAAAGAAACCACAAAAACCTCAGCCCCATGCAGCCTTTGCATCTCTGAAATGGCCCCATGGCTACTGAAAAGGGGGCCACTCTAGGGACACCCCTGCCAGGAAGCCTTGCCCCAGCCAGATGCATGGTTTGGGTGAGCAGGCTCTTGATGGCCTAGAAGGCCAGGTGGGGTGGCAGGGGAAGAGGGTGCCTAGGGGTTGGAGCTAAGTTCTATTCTGAACCTCCTAGCCTGGCATTAGCCGCTCAAAGAGTAGCACTTGCCTTCCGCTCCGTCTTATTGAGCCAGAGAGCCAGGCACCCACTGCCCCTTCCCCGGGGCCCAGAAAACACAAGACAGCAAAGCCCCAGCCACACACCTGCTTCTTTAACAGGTGGCTGCCAGAATCTGCCCGATGGCTGATTGTCACAGGCCGACCAGAAAGAGCACTTCAGGAACTCAAAAAGGTGGCCAGGATAAATGGCCACAAGGAAGCCAGAAAGACACTGACCATAGAGGTGAGAGGATGCTATTTGTGACCCAGGGTGCACAGCACAACCCGGGAAAGGACACCCACGATCACCCACATTACCACGGCCTCCTCACAAGCATCTCTGTGAAACACCGACACCAATGCCATCACCATAGCCATCACCGCACAATCGCCATCCCCACCAGTAACAGTAGGACTTTTCAACACCCTCGACTGCTTACAACCGTCCACATCCACGTCTCCTTCCCACCATCACCACCATTATCGCCTCCACCAGCACATTTTCATCTCCATCACCAACACCACTGTCCTTCCCATGCCCACCGCCCTCCCC